GGGTCCCCCACCAGCCAGACCTGCTGCCTCTCTCTGTATGCTATCCTGGAGCCCTGGCAAGAAAGCTCCAGTCCCCTTTGTCTCCCTGAACTCAGAAAAGCCCCCGACTGCATTCCCCAAAGCCACTCTGAAAGGTCGCCCTGACCTATGAGGCCCAAGGAGACAGTGCTTAAAATCACGTGCAGCGTGCTGACATCTTTGCCTGCCTCAGTTCAGCTCTCTGGCTTTGGGTGGCCTCCACAAACAGTAGCTTCTCCATGAGGAGAGCATGCAATTCAATCAACTTGGGAAGAGTGTTCAGTCCCCTACAGTCCCTGATCCACTGAGGGGCAGGTGGCCTGGGGCCCGTGACAGAGCCAAGTGGGTGAGGATTGCCATAGCAACACTGAAAAGGTGTATGACTGTGGGCAAGTCCCTTTCCCTGAGTCTAAGAGTTGCCATCTATAAAAAAGGAAAGAAAATGGTCCAATGCTCCTTACCTCACCCTGAACCTTTCCGGGCCTCTGTTTCCTCACTTAGAAAATGTCAGGGTTGAACGAGCCACTCTCTCAGGGCCTCCTCTGTTTTGAAGCTGTGAATCTGTGAGCTTTCTGCTGTGGTATGGGGAGGGGGAGGGCAGGATGTCAGAGACCAAGCGGGTCTGCTAGAGGAAGGGCTAGAGGTATAGCCAGTGGGCCTCCTCCACTGTGCTCCACATCGACCTCTCAGACGCCAGTGGCTCATTTTCCTTTGTTCCCAGCTCCGTCAGCATTGTGAGGACAAAAGGTGTTGGGAATGTCATCGAGCAGCAGTGGAAAAGCAGAAGTGAGCCGGCAAGGCCGTGCCCAGCGTAGCTTCCTCCAGGTTCCCCTTTGAGCTTAGTGATGGTTGATTGAATGCTCGCACTCTTGGGGTGTGTGTGTTTGCTTTGGTGCTGTGGGTTGGCAAACGGCGGCAGCTGAAGTCAAGTTGGCTTGTCTGCTGCAATCCAGGGCTGTGCATTGGCTGGCTGGCCCTGTCATGCACTGACATGAAACTTGGCTGCCATTTTGGGGTGGGGAGAACATCTGTGATTTCAGAGTGGCCAAGCCCAAGTGCACCGAGTTAGGGCGATGTGTGCTGGGAACACGGTGGGAAAATCTGGGAGACAGAACTTGGGAGCCCGATCACCAAATGATGGGAGGCAAGAGCTGCTCTTAGTTCTAGCCTCCAGGGTCAGGCAGCACTGGCGCCTCTTCCACAAGTCGGCCCTTTGCATCCTTCACGTCCTCCAAGTGAAACATATCCAGATCCTTCGACCAATCCTGACATGACGTGAGTTCATTACATTGAGCTTTGGAGAGAGCACCCCAGAGACAGCCTCTCCCTGGAGAGAACTGAGCCTCCTTGTAACACTGGAGGATCTGCCCTCTGGGGCCACCCAGAATATGTTTTCGTCACTGTAACTGGCCATTTCGTTGGTGGTGACTCCCCTGGGGATGCTGCTCTCAGCCTCTTTATGGCATAGTGACTGGTCTCTGAGAGTCTCCATGACTGAAAGCTTCCCCACTCTGGCAGACCCCCTGTTGCCACTCCGGACTTAGGAAGGCTGATGCTCAGTCACCAGGCAGCCAGCCCACGACTGGGGGCCCGAACTCAAAGTCTCTTCAGCCAGAGTGTCAAAAACTGAAGGACAACTCCAGGTCACAAGGAAGCCTTAGAATGGGACTTGTGTGGGCCCTTGTTGCTATGGATCATCAAGCTCTTGGGAAGGAGGCCACTTAGGTGCCACATCAGTGCCAAGGACTCCATTATTCCTCAGTGTCCCTGGCAGAGCATGTTTGAGGGGACAGCAGTTGGTTCCCCCATTCAGCACCCCATGAAGATCACGTTGCTGACTCAGGCTGCTCGCTGGCCTGGCTGGGGATCGAGCTCCTGACCTTTACTCCATTAACATGTGCTGTGTAGCTAACTGGCCACAGAGGTCCAGCAGATGTGGGCTGTACCTCACTGAGATTTCCTTAGGGCAGCTTTGGGTTGGGCAGATCCTCTCAGAGGGATTTATGGAAAGCCATGGGCGAGAAATGCCCGAGATGGGAAGCGTGGTGAGGATGCTCTGTGCTCTTTCTGGAAGCACTGAAGAGAGTAGCCCAGCTGGTGAGGTCCCAGGACCTCGGAGCCAGAGAATCTAAGGTGAAGCCATGTTGGCCATCCTGGCCGGGAGCTGCTTCTGGAACTTCAGTGGGAGTCTGGCTCATGCTGGAGATGACCAGGAAGGGCCGACCCCACCTCCCAAAGCACCCAACGTCCCCCCCATCACTCCTAGTTCTGTCCTCGGGGACCAACCAGAACAGGCCTGCTCCCCCTTCCCAAAGACAGGTCTTCCATATCTGGGGACAAGATCCCATCTTCTTCCCCGCCCCAAATCTTTTCTTCTCCAGGTTAAACAACGCCTAGTTCCTTGAGCTGGCCTTTACACAGCAGGCTTTCCACCCAGTCCTCGTCATGCTGGTCACTGTCTTATGGCTCCAACCAGGCCTGTGTCTGTGTCTATGCTGTGGCACCCAGGACTGGCCACGGGGCCTCATGGGAATACTAAGGCATCCAGAGCAATGTCTTCCCTTGTGGCCCTTGGCCACGTCGTGTTGCTTCTACTTGATCTGAGCCTGGGCTCATGGCATGAGCTAAGCTAGCATGGGAAGCCCATTCTCTAGGAGGTGCCACTGTCTCAATGTTCCCTGAATTCCCATCTCCAGATGTGAGGCTGACTTGAAACAGTTGGAGGGTGGTCACATCTCCAGGAAGAGGGGTTGAATAAGCAGCTAAGGGCCTGGTCTTGCCCAACTCTTGGCCTCCCCGAAACTTCTGGATGAATGCGGTGGAGAGAGGAGATGCCAAAGGAGAAGGCAGCCCTTCCTCTGCCTACTGGGCCTGAGCCCTTTCTCTCGGGTACTTGGCATCATAGCCAAGATGGGGGAGACGTGTCCCTTTGTCACAAGCTGAAGTCGTCCTAGGTATGGAGGATGGCCAGGAGACTGGAGGAGGGGCCCAATGGCTGAAGGACCTGGAGAGAGAAGGAAGCAGAGGGTGAAGGGAGGGAGGACCGGAAACAGCAATGGAGGAGGATTTGTTCATGAGGGGCTTCCCAGAGCTACCCACTGTGTAGGGAAGATACTGCCTCTGAGACCCCATGGTGAGTTTGGGACAGGTGTTGCCAGGTTGATAGCACTACCTCCAAAAGTCAGGCAGCATGGCCACTCACACTACAGTAGACAATTGTGACGTCCCCCTGTGCCCAGGCCCAGAGCACCCTTCCTTGTGCCTTCTTCTGATGTCTCACTGTACTGTGGAGGTGCGCTGCATGCCAAGGGCTCTTCTGCTGGCAGGACCCAAGCTGTGCTATAGGAACTTAGAGAAGGAGGGGGTGAAGACAGGCTTCCTGCAGAAAGACCCAAGGAATTGGACCTCGAAGGAACCTGGGAGCCCAATAGGCCAAGGTGAGGAGGGAGGACGTTTGGGCAGAAAGCAGAGTGTGAAAGGGGGTGCAGCGCCCCATGTCTGGGAGGGTGGAGTGGAGCCAAACTCTAAACGTCCTTCAAGATCAAAAGGAGGCAAAAGGGCTTTAGGATAACACCAGAGTTGTGACCAAGGGAACCTGGAAGGGTGGCAGTGGCCCGGCCGTACAGAAGGAAGTTTCACAGTTTTAAGGAGGAAGCTACATGTGTGTAGACAGATGTGTGCGCACACACATGCTTGTATACATAGATATATGGGCACACATTGTGTGCATGTGTGATATAAAGCGATACCCCATGTGTGTATATACACACATGTGTGGATGGGTGCAGGCACATACATGTATAGTGTCTATGGGCTACATAGCTATACTCCATATGCATCTACACATATACACACGTATCTTTGGGTATGTGCATGTGTATAGTGTGTGTATGACATCGAACTATAGCCCACATGTTACATATGTGTATTTATGTGTGTAGCATGTGATACATATGTATGTGTGTATCTATGTATAGGTTGATATACTCTGCTATACGGAGTAGGTAAAGCAGTGCCTACGGTCACGTGATTTTTTAGGAGGCTGTGCAGCCCTCAGGGCCAGGGTTAAGTGGGTGCCACTTCCCTAGGTGCCTGGTCAGCTGGTACTGGACAGCAGCCCCCCCTCCTGGTCTCCTTGGAGGAGGCCCCAAGGCTCCCCTGCATCCAAGGCCCCCTCCCATCTCCTACCCCAGGCATCGCTCGGCATCACGAACAGTCTTGCCCACTCTCGGGGTAACCAGGGCAATGCCACCCTAAGCTTCCTTGTTCTGGCCAGGGACCCCACAGGGTTCCCAGCTCCAGGTGACGGCACTGGTGGCAGCAGTAGCTGGCAGAGCTGAGTCAGCCCCCACCATCGGGAGCCTGTGCCCAGCTAGCTAGCGGTCTAGCCACTGTCTGTCTGAGGAGGTGGCTGCAGATTTGGCGCCTAGAGTAACTGGACGTTTGGCCCCCGTTGGCTTGGAGGACCTGTCAGGGCAGCCTCTTTGCCTGGTGGGCCTCCTGCTTCAAGACAGGTGAGCCTGGTCCTTGGCAGCCCAGGCTGCAGAAGGCAAAAGTACTAACGCCTGTGTGCGTTCAGACACACACTCACACACACACACACACACACTCTCTCTCTCTGACTCTCTCTCTGCCTCTCCTGTCTCTGTTTCTCTCTCCTTTTCTCCCTCTCTCTCTCTTTCTGTTTCTCTCTCTGTTTTCTCTTAGTTTCTCTCTCTCTCTCTCTCTCTGACTCTCCTGTCTCTGTTTCTCTCTCTGTTTCTTTCTCTTAGTTTCTCTGTTTCTCTGTTAGTCTCTCTCTCTCTCTCTCTCTCTCACACACACACACACACACACACACACACACACACACACACCTGGATTCCTGGGGATTAGCAGCAGGGGAGCCTGAAGAGCTCACTCAGTCCCCTCCACTGCGGCTCCGGCTCCCCAGCTCTCCCACTCTGGGCCCCCCCTCCACAATCCTTCCTTTTCCTTTGTAGATTTGACCTGAAACGTTCCCAGGGAAGGAGGTGACAGGCTGGCAACAAGGCAGGTGGCAGCAGGGGGGGTGAGCATTAGTGGCCCCCTACAAACTGGCCCTGCCAGTGGCCCGGGCAGCAGCGGCGGCAGAGGCAGCAGCAGCAGCAGAGGTGGAGCACTGTTTGCCCAGCTCAAAGCAGTCACCATGGCCCAAGCACCTGGGGCAAGCCCAACCCACTGGGAGGACAGCAAGGGGGCCGGCAGGAGCTCCCCGGCTCAGGTAAGCAGCTCCCAACTCCCCCTGGGGCGCACCCGAGGCCAGGCCAGGGGAGGGGGAGCAGGCAGAAGCTGGTGCCCGGGTGGGGGGGGGCGGGCTTCTCCTTCTACCTAAGTCAAGCTTGAAGAGCAGTTTCATTGTCTGGTTTCTAAATAGAGAGGCAGCTGGTGGCAGAAGGGGCAAAGGGGGACAGCCACAGAGCCCACTAGCCCTGGTCTCCGATGCAGGGCCCTTGGGGGCCAGGCCTAGCAGCCTGGCCAGCCTGGGGGCTTCCTCGTGGGGCTGGAAAGTCAAAAGGAAAGAAGGCTGGCTGAGCCGGAGACCCAAATTCCCTTTGGCAAAGGCAAAGATGGGCATTGGCTTTGGGGTTCTTCGCTCCTTGCCCCGCCACTCCCTTCTCTCTTTCTCTGTGTCTCTTTCCTCTCCTCCCTGTCTGTTTCTGTCTCTCTCCATCTCTTTCCTCTCCCTCTCTGGCTCTGGCTCACGTGTATGTTTCCTGGGAGCAATCGTTTCTCCTGGTACCGAGCCTGGCAGTCAGGAAGATTCCTTAGGAAGGGCCAACACCTGCACCATCAGTGGTCACAAGTCCCCTCAGAGAAATGGGGGAGGGGACTCTGATTCGTGCCAGAGAACTTGGGACCTCATGGGAAAGCCCACAGTGATTAGGGCTTTCTCAGCCGAGCTCAGGGCAGCGTGCGGGCTCTTCTCAGACCCCAGGCCACAAGGAAATGTGACACTAGCTCAGTTTATTGTGGAGGCTCTCTGCGCGGTCACAGCTTTCTGACCAGAGATGTTGGGGGGGGAGCCGGGGTGGGGGAGTTTGGGTGGGAGGCCAAGACCTAATGCCAGCTGCCTCCAGGTCTGGGCTGTACTGGGCAGGCGTGTGGAGCCCCCAGCAGCTCCCGTCAGCCTGGTAGAGCTGGTAGCTGGCTAATAATTAACCTCGTGGGCTTGTTTTCCACCCAGACAGAAACTCTCGTCTATGCTACATCTGCGTGGCGGGTGGATAGCACGGGAGCAGCAGGGTCACTTAAGAGAATCTCAGAACGCTGAGTCTCTCATGAGCTTTTTCGGAGCCTCTTGGGAGTCTGGTTCAGGGCTCAGGGTTAGTGGGTGACCTTTACAATCTGTACATTTGTGGTGACCCCAGGAAGGAGTCACCCAAGAGAAGTCTGCCCTTGCCACCACCTACTGGAGCCTCGTAAGAACCCTCCAAGGTAGGGACTGAGGTATTGTGTTTTGTGTGGAATGGAAGGTGTGTCTTGTATCATTAATGCTCAATCCACGAGGCATCGCTTATGAGGAGGCCAACTGAGGCATAACACTTACAGAAGAAAGTGGGCCAGCCGTTTTCCATTCCGTACTCGGTCGTGGTCCTGGGACGAGGATGTCCGTCCACGCCCACAATCTGAAAGTCGGGCAGAAAAGCCTCCACTGGTTTGTCTGCCATTCTGAGTTCCTCTTGAACCGTTTGGAGGACACCTGGTCTCCTTTATGAATTCTCTGTTTGTGACCAGGACCATGGGTCACTTGTTTCTCCCTGGAAAGAAAGGCATGTGTCATAAATGGTTCTAGGGTAACCTGAAAGGAGGTCTCTAGTGGAGTGCCCTAGGGATCTATGCTCGCCCCTTTTGAGCAGTGTCTTGAATGCACCAAGCTAGGGAGGCTGGATAACATGAGGATCCTAAAATACTTCACCAGGTTCAAGCATCGGGCTGAATGCTCTGGTTTGAAATGGAACTGAGATAGATGGGGAGTCTTCCACTTTGGTTACCAATGTCAACTTTACAAGTACAAGACAGGGGAGGAAGGGAGGAAAAATGGACACCAAACTGGGGCTGCTCAGATGGGCCTAGTGGCCCCCATGAGGGAGTTAGGGCAGCTCACATGGTAACAGAGTGCCCAGGAATGAGGCCAGGACAGCCTCATGTCCTTGAGACTGCTCAGCCCCCAGCCAGAGGCTTGGGTTCACTTCCGGATCGTAAGAAGGACATTGGTGGCAGGAGAGTATCCAGAGGAGGCGGCCAGGAGGGTGAAGGCCCTGGAACCCACGTCACGGGAGGCCATAGAGCTGGAAGGGACCTTGAACGCCATCAACTCCTCCCCCCCCACACACACACAGGTACACACATTTGACAGGGGAGGAAACTGAGGCAGCCTAGAGAGAAAGGGGCTTGACCGGACTTCTACAGCTAGTGTCAGCGACAAGATCTGAACCCAGGCCCTGCCGCTCTCAATGCAACAGTGTCTCTGCCCCATCACACTGCCTCACATGTGGAACCAGATAAATGTTTGTTAAATGGTGTAGAAAATGAGGATTGTTCAAACGACCTGGGGGCCTTTAGCCTGGAAGAGAGCAGGCTCAGCTTAGCGCCCTGATGGCTAGCTCCGATACCAGAAGGGCAGTCCTGTGGCTGAGGGTTTACGCACCAGAGGGCAGAATCAGGGCTAGCCAAGGAGGGCAAGTGACCAGAGGGCAGACTGAGGCAGGACCCCCATGCCTGAGTGGAAGGGGCCAGGTCACACATGCTGGAGGTGGGGTGGAGCTTGAGGAGAGAAGGCTCGAGATCCACTTTGTCACCATGGGGATTCTCAGGTGGGGCCTGGGTAGCTGGGGGAGCAGGCGTCTGAGGCTTCTGAAAGCTCTGACCTCAGGCAGCCTCTGGCTTCATTCTGGTCACTGCTATTTGCTAAGGGGCTGTCCTCCTGGACCACGCCAGACTCCAGAAGTGTGCCCAGTAGGACATTCCTGAGGAGGGGAAACTACCCCCCCTCCCCCGGCAGCCTAGGGACAACATGCAAGTTCTCATCGTGTGCAGCGTGGTTCTGCTGTGAAGCTCAGATAGGACTCCCTCGGGCTGCCCCAGATCTGCCCTCTGAGGCCAGGCAGAACAAATTTAAACCCTCTTCCACATGGGAATCCACCAAATATCTGAAAAATAGCTCTGAGCCCCACAGAGTTGCGTTCTCCAGGCTAAACGAGCTCATTTCCTTCACCCTTTCTTCCTCAGCCTGGTCCCCTCCTCTGGAAGTACACCGCTTTATCATCCTTCTCCTTAAACTGGGGGGGAGGGCTGAGCACTGAACAGAGTATGCCAACTGCTGGCACCCCACTCCTGGAGGCCGTCGCCACTTCCTCCCCAGACTTCAGCGGTAGACAAGCCCTGGCCCTGCCCGCGTCCTTCTCGTGTTCCCCAGGAAAAGGAGGCTCCTTTTGGCTTGTCGGAGAGTATGCGAAGCCCTTGGCTTGGTGCTGGTCGCTGTCACTACCATCACCCGTCTCCCAGCTGGCAGTGCTGCTGGATGTCATGGAAACCTCGAACTCGTTTGAGGCAGGATCTGGAGGCAGAGAGGGTCAGCCTGCCAGTCCCAGCTCTGCTGCTTCTTACATGCGTGACCTTAGGCAAGTCATTGAAAATGAGAGGCTCGGACTCATTGGCCTCAAAGGATCTTTTCCAGTTCTTAATCAAAAACCAACCCTGTGAGGCAGACACTGTGACTGGTCACAGCCTTCAGTTACAGAGGAGGAAACTGAGGCTCCAAAGGGTCATTTAGCAGGAAGTGGAAGAGGCAGGGTCCTGACTCCATCGCCAGAGGCTGCTGCCCATTCACACTGGGCCAGTGAGATGGTGTCCTGTGGGCAGTGGGTCCTGCCCGCCTGCCCGCCTGCCCGCCTGCCCGTCTGTCTGTCTGCCTGCCTGCCTGCCTGCCTGCCTGCCTGTCTGTCTGTCTGTGTCTGTCTGCCTGCCTGCCTGTCTGCCTGTCTGTCTGTCTGTCTGTGTCTGCCTGCCTGCCTGCCTGTCTGCCTGTCTGCCTGTCTGCCTGTCTGCCTGCCTGCCTGCCTGCCTGCCCGTCTGCCCG